AAACAGAACGCAAAGGAGGAAATAAAAGTGATAATGGCTGCGTTAAACCCTCTCAAAACCTCACTAAACTCCCTCAAATGTCAGACACCCAATCCCTCATCCTCATCAATCCCCTCACCAAACGCAATTTCATCAAGTATCCGAAAATATCTCAATCGGTGGTGTCCGGACAAAGCCACCACCAAAGCCAACAAGGAGCATCTCTGCATACTTTGTGCAGCAGTGGTCGGAAAGAAGTCCTCGACGCCATCAAAGGCTCACTTCACAATTGTCTGTCGGAGAAAAATCTTCACTTAACGGTTCCTGGAATGAAATCCAAAATCAGAGGCAAGGTATGTCATTTTTTTTAATTTATTTATTTATCGTTAATCTGTATAAGACAAGGTACTTTTTGTTTTTGTTCGGCAGTCGAGGAATTGGTATAAAACCTTGGAATTTCCTTTTCTCATTTACTTGAAATGTGATTTCTTTTGCAGGTTCGAGAAATTTATGATGGTGGGGATTATCTGGTTTTGGTCACCACTTGTCGGCAGAGTGCATTTGATAGGATTCTTACTTGCTTCTATTTCATTCAAAGGCCAGGTTGGTTTGCTCTGGTCGTTGTTTATTTATTTTTTTTCCCTTTTTAAGTAAATTTGTTGCTTTTAATTCAATTCAATCAAATAATGGGAAAGAATCAAGTTGAAATTTTTAGTACGTAGTAGATGGTAAATGTTGAAGGGTTAATTGAGATGTGGCATTGTTGCTGAAATTTGTTTGCTGGGGTAAATTTCAGGTTCTTAACGAGACCAGTTTGTGGTGGTTCGAGAGAACACAGCGTATAACTCCAAATGTACTTGTGTCAGCACCGGATAAAAATGTTACAATTATGAAGAAGTGCTCTATCTTTCCCGTTGAATTTGTTGGTGAGTATCTATGATCTTGTGTGATGCTCAACTGGTACTTGTAGCTCACATTAGGTCCTGTCATTGGTTGAAATATGTGAACTCATTTTGATAAAGAAGATTGCATTTTCTGTTGTTTAGTTGAATAGCTTGGCAGAAGAAAGTTTGTTTTTAACCCAAAGAAAATGCACTTCAATTGGTTAACAACATTATTTTGTACTTTCTTGTAGTCATTTGATGTAAAATTATTAGATATAAAATTATTAGATGAACTATTATTCATATCATCCATATTTTCTTATTATTTGTAGTTAGAGGTTATGTGACTGGAGGAACTGATACATCATTATGGATGGTCTACAAAAATGGTGCTCAGAGTTACCGTGGGAACGCACTTCCACTAGTTGTGGATTCTATAGTAAATTGTTTTCTTTATCCAATTACAAGCTTGACACTGTGATGGTCTCTTAACTTGTTTGGTATAGGCTTGGTAAAAAATCAAAAGCTACCAGCAAATATATACTCACACCAACAACTAAGGCTGATGATCATGATGTTCCTGTAACTCCAGATGAGGTCAACCTTTAGTTCCAAGCTTAAACTTTAAAAGATATATCAAAATAGAAAAGATTTAAAACTCTTTTTCAAGTCATGTAACATTTTCCAAGTAGGCCTCAGTTCTGCTGGGTTTGTTAGTAAATGAGTTGCATTTTCCTGCAGATAATTGAATGTGGACTGATGACCTGAGTTGAATTTGATGAAGCAAGAGAAAAAACTGTAAGCTTATTTGAGTATTGGCAGGTGATTTAATTTCTTACAAAGTTTTCATGGTTGTTGCCTGGATCTGATTGCATGATTAACTTAAAGCTTTTTTTGGGAGGGAACACTTCAACTGCACGTTTCTTGATAGCCCTTACTTACAGTTGATAAGTAAAACTAATTTTGAAATTCTTTGAAATTGCAGCATGTGGTTTTGGAACATGGCTTGATTTTAGTATATACAAAATATGAATTTGGAAAGGGCAGCAATGGTTTTATTCTATTGATTGACGAGGTTAGTTTCCATATTCAAAAGGATCCATTACAATCTCTGTGCCCTGCTCCTGAGGGTGGCCCCTTCATGCTCGTGTTTTGCGTCTGCTCACACAGATGCTTGAAAGAATGTAAGCTGACTGGCAGTACAATGATGAATGTTTTGTTTTGTCTTATGTCATAATTCAAGGTGCATACCCCTGACTCAAGCAGATATTGAATTTCTAATTCTTATGAGGAGGGCTTTCAGAATGGTCTTGAACCTGAAAATGTTGATAACGTGCAGTGCATGATGTTTTCAACTATTGCAGACAATGATTTTATTCCTTACCGGTTATTTGTGGAGCTAATATCCTTGCCTCTAATAATTTATAGGAGTTCTTGAGGTTATGGTTCAAAGAGATCTGCAATCTTATGAAGATGACGTAAGTTAACACCAAGAAGTTTGTTATACGCCCTTTAGTATCCATCCGTTTGAGAAAATATAGTGAAACTCATCTGAGTGATGCATTCATTAGGTCCTTCCTGATGCTCCCACCAAACTTGTTTGTGAGCTAGCTTGGCGGTATGTTTTCTATATC